CTTTCTCTCTTTTTTCTCCCTCCCCCCCTCCCCCCCCCCCCCCCCCGGTCTTGGTCTCTCCCTAAGCTCTAGCTACCCCACTCCACTCCCTCAAGCACCTCACTCACCCCGCAGATCCTTCCCTTCCCCAACGTTCACTCACTACCTCTCCCTATCTCTCCCTCGGACCACATCCTCCCGCCACAACATCTTTCTATCTCCTCCCGCGTTACTCACTCCACCCGTTCCCTCTCCCACAGCTCACTAACCTCACACCTCTTCCTCTCTCTGCCCGCATTGCTCACACAACCCGCTCACTCTCACACAGTTCACACACATCTTCCTCTCCTCCCCCGCGTTGCTCACACAACACGTTCCCTCTCACACCGCTCATTAACCTCACACATCTTCCTCTCTCCTCCCGCGTTGCTCACACAACACGTTCCCTCTCACACCGCTCATTAACCTCACACATCTTCCTCTCTCCTCCCACGTTGCTCACACAACCCACTCCATCTCACACAGTTCACGCACATTTTTCTCTCTTCCGATCTCCACTCACTCCACACTCCTATCTCTCTCTCGGCCTTCGCCCATACTGTCACCTTCTCTCTCTCTCCTCCCGCGATTCTCACGCAGCCAACCTCCTTCCACCCGCCTTATTGCACACACTCACCCTACACGGCCTCCTCCATACACCACTACTTCCGTAAGCCGTCACCACGCACGCCACACATTCAAACATTTCAAACTCAAATCAACACATGTATTTGAAATTTGTTACCGTACCTCCCATTTTCATCTCCCTTCTTTCGGCCGATCGCGCTATCACCGTCCGCGGTCTCCTCTTCTCTCTGCTTTGCTTCCTTTCTCTCTCCTTCTGAAACCTTCTGTCCTTTCCTCTTTCTCTTTCCCGCTCTTTTTCTTCCTCCGTTTTTTTTTTCCTTTTTCTTTTCTTCTTTTTCTTTCTTCTTTCCTTCCTTCCCCTGCTCCCTATTTATATCACCCCAGTTTTTCCTCAAAACGGAGTCATTTTCCCCCTTGCAAAATGATGTCGTTTATCCCTTTTCAAAATGATGTCGTTTATCCCTTTTCAAAACGACATCGTTTTCTCCCCTCTGCAAAACGACATCGTTTTTCATTCTTTAAAACGGCGTCGTTTCCCTCCCTTCTCCTTTTTTTTCTTTTCTTTTTCCCCAGTTATTACAAAGAGCCTCATAGAGAGCTATTTCAATGCTAGTATGGTAACTATTATTGTAAGTGAATTCCATTAAAGGTATCATATCTTTCCAATTTCTTTCAATATCGGTAATACATGCTCGTAATATATCCTCTAACACTTGTATGGTTCTCTTTATTTGTCCATCCATCTATGGATGGAAAATCGTGCTAAAGTTTAAATGGGTGCCCACAATCTGTTGTAAACTTTTTCAAAATCTAGAAGTAAATTGGGGGTCTTTATTTGAAACAATTGAAACCAGAATTCCATGTAACCCGATTATATCTCTAATGTATAACCTGACCAACTTATCAACTGAGTCTAACACCTTCATTGCTAGAAAGTGTGAGGACTCAGTTAGACGATTCACATCCACCAAAATACTATCATGGTTCTTGTAGGTCCTTGGCAGTTCAATCATAAAGTCCATAGATATGTGTTTTCACTTCTACTTCGGTATCAGTAAGGGTTGCAATGACCCTCTAGGCTTTTGATATTCCACCTTCATTTGTTGACATGTTAAATACCTTGACACAAATTCTGCAATATCCTATTTCATTCCCTTCCACCAGTAATACTTCTGCAAATTCCTGTATATTTTAATTCTCGTAGGATGCATGACAAACCTTATATAATGAGTTTCCCTAAGAATTTTCTTTCGTAACTTTGTATCATTCAGATTGCACATCCGAGTTCCAAATTTGAGTACCCCATTACTATGCAGACTATACCCTATTGGCACCCCTTGCTCGACTTTCCCCTTGATCGTCTATAGATTGGTATCTGCCAACTGGCCCTTTTTAATACTTTAGATTAAACTGGGTTGAGCCCTCAAACTGGCCACATATTTCCCTCGGCACTAATTTTGAATTTTCAACCGTTGCATAGCTTCGTGTATCTCCCACTCAGATACTATTAAATGTGTCAATATTCATTTATTCTTCCAGCTGAGGGCATCTGCCACTACATTTTTTTTTCCTGGATGATATTGGATTTCACAATCAAAGTTTTTTAATAAATCCATCCATCATCTCTGTAGCATATTCAATTCCCTCTGTGTGAATAAGTACTGTAAACTTTTGTAATCTGTATAAATTTCAAAAATCTCCCCATATATGTAGTGCTTCCACAGTTTCAATGCATAGACCACTGCAGCTAATTCCAAATCATGTGTGGGGTAATTTCTTTCATGTACCTTTAACTACCTAGGCCCATAAGTAATTACCTTCCCCTGTTGCATAAGCACACAACCCAACCATAAGTGTGATGCATCGGTATACACTGCATAACCCCCTTCGTCAGACTTGATAGTCAACACCAGTGTTGTAGTGAGTTTTCGCTTAATCTTATTGAAGCTAATCTCGCAGTCGTGATCCCACAAAAA